TGGAAATACTTCCTAGATTTGCAGTGATTGTTAACTGTACTACAAACCTGTTGCAGGCTCGAAACCAACCTGAAGACCTCTATTTGATGGCCTTGGTACATTCCTTCAGGGTACTCTTGTATGTGGCACCGTAATGGCTTTGGTATGGTCTCATCTTCAAAGTACCCTATTATGTGGCCTTTGTGTGGTCCTGTCTTCATGGTACTCTTATATGTGGCCCTGTTTCAGGTTACTCTTGTATGTGGCCTCATGGTGACCTTGATACGCTCCTGTCTTCAGGATACTGCTATATGTAGCCTTTTGATGGCCTTGGTATAGTCTTGTCTTCAGGGTACTCTTATATGTGGCCTTGTGATGGCCTTGGCATAGTCCCGCCTTCAGGATACTCTTGTATGTGGTCTTGTGATGGCCTTGGTATGGTCCTGTCTTCAGGATGCTCTTGTATGTGGCCTTGTGATGGCCTTGGTAACTATGGTCCCATCTTTATGGTACTCTTATATGTGGCCTTGTGTGGTCCTGTTTTCAGGGTACTCTTATGTGTGGCCTTGTTATGGCTTTGGTATAGTGCTGACTTCAATGTACTCTTCTATGTGGCCTTTTAAAGGCCTTGGTATAGTCCTGTCTTTAGGGTACTCTTATATGTTGTCTCATGATGGCCTTGGTATGGTCCCGTCTTCAGGATCCTCTTATATGTGGCCTTGTGATGGCCTTGGTATGGTCCTGTCTTCACTGTACTCTTATATATGGCCTTGGTAAAGTCCTATCTTCAGAGTACTCTTTAATGTGGCCTCGTGTTGGCCTTGGTATAATCCTGTCTTCATGGTACTCTATTATGTGGTCTCATGATGGCCTTGGTATTGTCTAGTCTTCACTGTGCTCTTATATATGGCCTTGCTATGGTCCTGTCTTCACTGTACTCTTATATATGGCCTTGCTATGGTCCTGTCTTCACTGTACTCTTATAAGTGGCCTTTTGATGGCCTTGATATGGTCATGCCTTCAATGTACTCTTATATGTGGTCTCATGATGGCCTTGGTATGGTCCTGTCTTCACTGTAATCTTATATATGGCCTTGATATGATCCTGTCTTCACTGTACTGATATATATGCCCTTGGTATAGTCCTGTCTTCATGGTACTCTATTATGTGGTCTGATGATGGCTTTGCTATGGTCCTGTCTTCACCGTACTCTTATATATGGCCTTGCTATGGTCCTGCCTTCAGGGTACTCTTATATGCGGCCTTATGTTAGACTGCAGTGAGGATTTGTAGCCCTACCTCTTAGGTAGCAAAAATGGATGCCACATTTTTAAAACCTGAATGAATAAAGTAAGAGCGAACTCCAAGTGAATGAGGTTAAGTTTCCTCAAGCAGTGTGCATCATAAACCATTGACCTTTTTTTAAAAACATAAAATACTTGCTTCTCCTTTGAATCCTTTGCTGCGCAACTTCCTGTCTACATGCATTACACGTGGGCTTTACCTAGGCTGGTCGGCATGCAAAAGGGAGCGCCCTCTCCTCCAGACTGACATCTACCTAGCAAGGCACATTGATATTTGCATAACTCCTCCCAGCTCGCTGCTTGTATTAGAGCTGAGGGCCCTTTAGAGGAGTGCTGAGGCTGGGTGCTGTGATGTTTGTACAGCACCCTGCTGGCCCCTCCCACCAGCCATGGTCAGCCTGCATTGCATAGAGAATACCCAGTGATTATATCACTATATCACTGGGTTTAAAATAAGATATGTAATAAAAATGGAAGGGGGGGAGAAGAAGGGGGGCAGGGGGGAGGGGGGGGCAGGGAATGCAAAATATAAGCAGATTAATAAGAGTTGTCAGTTTAGGATGGTGAATAAGAAACATTAATGTGAAAAAGATAGATAATCCGTCTGCAATGTTGGATTAACATAACCGCTTGTGACTTCTCCAGCTCTCTCCCAGAACGATCCTGTGTTCTGATTTAATTTATTTATTAGACAACTTCATCTCCCACTGCGTTCCTCATCAGGAAACAGAAGGAGCTTGTGCCTCCAATTATAAAACACTGGCTGGATTGTTGTGTGTGCGCTTCTATTACAGTCATACCCCATTCAATTATCCGGTTATCCCTATTTACAAGCACATGAAGTTGTAACCTTATAACCTCGGAGGATGGAAGGTGGCCCTGAACCATTTGTCCCGTATTCATCTGGACAGTCCTGTACATGCTGTGTCTGGGTCTCAGCTGGCCTGAAACACCCAGGATTCACCCGGACAGTCCAGGTTTTGAATCCTGTGGGTGCTGTGTCTGGGTTTCAGCTGGCCTGAAACACCCAGGATTCACCCGGACAGTCCAGGTTTTGAATCCTGTGGGTGCTGTGTCTGGGTTTCAGCTGGCCTGAAACACCCAGGATTCACCCGGACAGTCCAGGTTTTGAATCCTGTGGGTGCTGTGTCTGGGTTTCAGCTGGCCTGAAACACCCAGGATTCACCCGGACAGTCCAGGTTTTGAATCCTGTGGGTGCTGTGTCTGGGTTTCAGCTGGCCTGAAACACCCAGGATTCACCCGGACAGTCCAGGTTTTGAATCCTGTGGGTGCTGTGTCTGGGTTTCAGCTGGCCTGAAACACCCAGGATTCACCCGGACAGTCCAGGTTTTGAATCCTGTGGGTGCTGTGTCTGGGTTTCAGCTGGCCTGAAACACCCAGGATTCACCCGGACAGTCCAGGTTTTGAATCCTGTGGGTGCTGTGTCTGGGTTTCAGCTGGCCTGAAACACCCAGGATTCACCCGGACAGTCCAGGTTTTGAATCCTGTGGGTGCTGTGTCTGGGTTTCAGCTGGCCTGAAACACCCAGGATTCACCCGGACAGTCCAGGTTTTGAATCCTGTGGGTGCTGTGTCTGGGTTTCAGCTGGCCTGAAACACCCAGGATTCACCCGGACAGTCCAGGTTTTGAATCCTGTGGGTGCTGTGTCTGGGTTTCAGCTGGCCTGAAACACCCAGGATTCACCCGGACAGTCCAGGTTTTGAATCCTGTGGGTGCTGTGTCTGGGTTTCAGCTGGCCTGAAACACCCAGGATTCACCCGGACAGTCCAGGTTTTGAATCCTGTGGGTGCTGTGTCTGGGTTTCAGCTGGCCTGAAACACCCAGGATTCACCCGGACAGTCCAGGTTTTGAATCCTGTGGGTGCTGTGTCTGGGTTTCAGCTGGCCTGAAACACCCAGGATTCACCCGGACAGTCCAGGTTTTGAATCCTGTGGGTGCTGTGTCTGGGTTTCAGCTGGCCTGAAACACCCAGGATTCACCCGGACAGTCCAGGTTTTGAATCCTGTGGGTGCTGTGTCTGGGTTTCAGCTGGCCTGAAACACCCAGGATTCACCCGGACAGTCCAGGTTTTGAATCCTGTGGGTGCTGTGTCTGGGTTTCAGCTGGCCTGAAACACCCAGGATTCACCCGGACAGTCCAGGTTTTGAATCCTGTGGGTGCTGTGTCTGGGTTTCAGCTGGCCTGAAACACCCAGGATTCACCCGGACAGTCCAGGTTTTGAATCCTGTGGGTGCTGTGTCTGGGTTTCAGCTGGCCTGAAACACCCAGGATTCACCCGGACAGTCCAGGTTTTGAATCCTGTGGGTGCTGTGTCTGGGTTTCAGCTGGCCTGAAACACCCAGGATTCACCCGGACAGTCCAGGTTTTGAATCCTGTGGGTGCTGTGTCTGGGTTTCAGCTGGCCTGAAACACCCAGGATTCACCCGGACAGTCCAGGTTTTGAATCCTGTGGGTGCTGTGTCTGGGTTTCAGCTGGCCTGAAACACCCAGGATTCACCCGGACAGTCCAGGTTTTGAATCCTGTGGGTGCTGTGTCTGGGTTTCAGCTGGCCTGAAACACCCAGGATTCACCCGGACAGTCCAGGTTTTGAATCCTGTGGGTGCTGTGTCTGGGTTTCAGCTGGCCTGAAACACCCAGGATTCACCCGGACAGTCCAGGTTTTGAATCCTGTGGGTGCTGTGTCTGGGTTTCAGCTGGCCTGAAACACCCAGGATTCACCCGGACAGTCCAGGTTTTGAATCCTGTGGGTGCTGTGTCTGGGTTTCAGCTGGCCTGAAACACCCAGGATTCACCCGGACAGTCCAGGTTTTGAATCCTGTGGGTGCTGTGTCTGGGTTTCAGCTGGCCTGAAACACCCAGGATTCACCCGGACAGTCCAGGTTTTGAATCCTGTGGGTGCTGTGTCTGGGTTTCAGCTGGCCTGAAACACCCAGGATTCACCCGGACAGTCCAGGTTTTGAATCCTGTGGGTGCTGTGTCTGGGTTTCAGCTGGCCTGAAACACCCAGGATTCACCCGGACAGTCCAGGTTTTGAATCCTGTGGGTGCTGTGTCTGGGTTTCAGCTGGCCTGAAACACCCAGGATTCACCCGGACAGTCCAGGTTTTGAATCCTGTGGGTGCTGTGTCTGGGTTTCAGCTGGCCTGAAACACCCAGGATTCACCCGGACAGTCCAGGTTTTGAATCCTGTGGGTGCTGTGTCTGGGTTTCAGCTGGCCTGAAACACCCAGGATTCACCCGGACAGTCCAGGTTTTGAATCCTGTGGGTGCTGTGTCTGGGTTTCAGCTGGCCTGAAACACCCAGGATTCACCCGGACAGTCCAGGTTTTGAATCCTGTGGGTGCTGTGTCTGGGTTTCAGCTGGCCTGAAACACCCAGGATTCACCCGGACAGTCCAGGTTTTGAATCCTGTGGGTGCTGTGTCTGGGTTTCAGCTGGCCTGAAACACCCAGGATTCACCCGGACAGTCCAGGTTTTGAATCCTGTGGGTGCTGTGTCTGGGTTTCAGCTGGCCTGAAACACCCAGGATTCACCCGGACAGTCCAGGTTTTGAATCCTGTGGGTGCTGTGTCTGGGTTTCAGCTGGCCTGAAACACCCAGGATTCACCCGGACAGTCCAGGTTTTGAATCCTGTGGGTGCTGTGTCTGGGTTTCAGCTGGCCTGAAACACCCAGGATTCACCCGGACAGTCCAGGTTTTGAATCCTGTGGGTGCTGTGTCTGGGTTTCAGCTGGCCTGAAACACCCAGGATTCACCCGGACAGTCCAGGTTTTGAATCCTGTGGGTGCTGTGTCTGGGTTTCAGCTGGCCTGAAACACCCAGGATTCACCCGGACAGTCCAGGTTTTGAATCCTGTGGGTGCTGTGTCTGGGTTTCAGCTGGCCTGAAACACCCAGGATTCACCCGGACAGTCCAGGTTTTGAATCCTGTGGGTGCTGTGTCTGGGTTTCAGCTGGCCTGAAACACCCAGGATTCACCCGGACAGTCCAGGTTTTGAATCCTGTGGGTGCTGTGTCTGGGTTTCAGCTGGCCTGAAACACCCAGGATTCACCCGGACAGTCCAGGTTTTGAATCCTGTGGGTGCTGTGTCTGGGTTTCAGCTGGCCTGAAACACCCAGGATTCACCCGGACAGTCCAGGTTTTGAATCCTGTGGGTGCTGTGTCTGGGTTTCAGCTGGCCTGAAACACCCAGGATTCACCCGGACAGTCCAGGTTTTGAATCCTGTGGGTGCTGTGTCTGGGTTTCAGCTGGCCTGAAACACCCAGGATTCACCCGGACAGTCCAGGTTTTGAATCCTGTGGGTGCTGTGTCTGGGTTTCAGCTGGCCTGAAACACCCAGGATTCACCCGGACAGTCCAGGTTTTGAATCCTGTGGGTGCTGTGTCTGGGTTTCAGCTGGCCTGAAACACCCAGGATTCACCCGGACAGTCCAGGTTTTGAATCCTGTTCGTGCTGTGCCTGGGTTTCAGCTGGCCTTAAACACCCAGGATTCACCCGGACAGTCAAGGTTTTGAATCCTGTGGGTGCTGTGTCTGGGTTTCAGCTGGCCTGAAACACCCAGGATTCACCCGGACAGTCCAGGTTTTGAATCCTGTGGGTGCTGTGTCTGGGTTTCAGCTGGCCTGAAACACCCAGGATTCACCCGGACAGTCCAGGTTTTGAATCCTGTGGGTGCTGTGTCTGGGTTTCAGCTGGCCTGAAACACCCAGGATTCACCCGGACAGTCCAGGTTTTGAATCCTGTGGGTGCTGTGTCTGGGTTTCAGCTGGCCTGAAACACCCAGGATTCACCCGGACAGTCCAGGTTTTGAATCCTGTGGGTGCTGTGTCTGGGTTTCAGCTGGCCTGAAACACCCAGGATTCACCCGGACAGTCCAGGTTTTGAATCCTGTGGGTGCTGTGTCTGGGTTTCAGCTGGCCTGAAACACCCAGGATTCACCCGGACAGTCCAGGTTTTGAATCCTGTGGGTGCTGTGTCTGGGTTTCAGCTGGCCTGAAACACCCAGGATTCACCCGGACAGTCCAGGTTTTGAATCCTGTGGGTGCTGTGTCTGGGTTTCAGCTGGCCTGAAACACCCAGGATTCACCCGGACAGTCCAGGTTTTGAATCCTGTGGGTGCTGTGTCTGGGTTTCAGCTGGCCTGAAACACCCAGGATTCACCCGGACAGTCCAGGTTTTGAATCCTGTGGGTGCTGTGTCTGGGTTTCAGCTGGCCTGAAACACCCAGGATTCACCCGGACAGTCCAGGTTTTGAATCCTGTGGGTGCTGTGTCTGGGTTTCAGCTGGCCTGAAACACCCAGGATTCACCCGGACAGTCCAGGTTTTGAATCCTGTGGGTGCTGTGTCTGGGTTTCAGCTGGCCTGAAACACCCAGGATTCACCCGGACAGTCCAGGTTTTGAATCCTGTGGGTGCTGTGTCTGGGTTTCAGCTGGCCTGAAACACCCAGGATTCACCCGGACAGTCCAGGTTTTGAATCCTGTGGGTGCTGTGTCTGGGTTTCAGCTGGCCTGAAACACCCAGGATTCACCCGGACAGTCCAGGTTTTGAATCCTGTGGGTGCTGTGTCTGGGTTTCAGCTGGCCTGAAACACCCAGGATTCACCCGGACAGTCCAGGTTTTGAATCCTGTGGGTGCTGTGTCTGGGTTTCAGCTGGCCTGAAACACCCAGGATTCACCCGGACAGTCCAGGTTTTGAATCCTGTGGGTGCTGTGTCTGGGTTTCAGCTGGCCTGAAACACCCAGGATTCACCCGGACAGTCCAGGTTTTGAATCCTGTGGGTGCTGTGTCTGGGTTTCAGCTGGCCTGAAACACCCAGGATTCACCCGGACAGTCCAGGTTTTGAATCCTGTGGGTGCTGTGTCTGGGTTTCAGCTGGCCTGAAACACCCAGGATTCACCCGGACAGTCCAGGTTTTGAATCCTGTGGGTGCTGTGTCTGGGTTTCAGCTGGCCTGAAACACCCAGGATTCACCCGGACAGTCCAGGTTTTGAATCCTGTGGGTGCTGTGTCTGGGTTTCAGCTGGCCTGAAACACCCAGGATTCACCCGGACAGTCCAGGTTTTGAATCCTGTGGGTGCTGTGTCTGGGTTTCAGCTGGCCTGAAACACCCAGGATTCACCCGGACAGTCCAGGTTTTGAATCCTGTGGGTGCTGTGTCTGGGTTTCAGCTGGCCTGAAACACCCAGGATTCACCCGGACAGTCCAGGTTTTGAATCCTGTGGGTGCTGTGTCTGGGTTTCAGCTGGCCTGAAACACCCAGGATTCACCCGGACAGTCCAGGTTTTGAATCCTGTGGGTGCTGTGTCTGGGTTTCAGCTGGCCTGAAACACCCAGGATTCACCCGGACAGTCCAGGTTTTGAATCCTGTGGGTGCTGTGTCTGGGTTTCAGCTGGCCTGAAACACCCAGGATTCACCCGGACAGTCCAGGTTTTGAATCCTGTGGGTGCTGTGTCTGGGTTTCAGCTGGCCTGAAACACCCAGGATTCACCCGGACAGTCCAGGTTTTGAATCCTGTGGGTGCTGTGTCTGGGTTTCAGCTGGCCTGAAACACCCAGGATTCACCCGGACAGTCCAGGTTTTGAATCCTGTGGGTGCTGTGTCTGGGTTTCAGCTGGCCTGAAACACCCAGGATTCACCCGGACAGTCCAGGTTTTGAATCCTGTGGGTGCTGTGTCTGGGTTTCAGCTGGCCTGAAACACCCAGGATTCACCCGGACAGTCCAGGTTTTGAATCCTGTGGGTGCTGTGTCTGGGTTTCAGCTGGCCTGAAACACCCAGGATTCACCCGGACAGTCCAGGTTTTGAATCCTGTGGGTGCTGTGTCTGGGTTTCAGCTGGCCTGAAACACCCAGGATTCACCCGGACAGTCCAGGTTTTGAATCCTGTGGGTGCTGTGTCTGGGTTTCAGCTGGCCTGAAACACCCAGGATTCACCCGGACAGTCCAGGTTTTGAATCCTGTGGGTGCTGTGTCTGGGTTTCAGCTGGCCTGAAACACCCAGGATTCACCCGGACAGTCCAGGTTTTGAATCCTGTGGGTGCTGTGTCTGGGTTTCAGCTGGCCTGAAACACCCAGGATTCACCCGGACAGTCCAGGTTTTGAATCCTGTGGGTGCTGTGTCTGGGTTTCAGCTGGCCTGAAACACCCAGGATTCACCCGGACAGTCCAGGTTTTGAATCCTGTGGGTGCTGTGTCTGGGTTTCAGCTGGCCTGAAACACCCAGGATTCACCCGGACAGTCCAGGTTTTGAATCCTGTGGGTGCTGTGTCTGGGTTTCAGCTGGCCTGAAACACCCAGGATTCACCCGGACAGTCCAGGTTTTGAATCCTGTGGGTGCTGTGTCTGGGTTTCAGCTGGCCTGAAACACCCAGGATTCACCCGGACAGTCCAGGTTTTGAATCCTGTGGGTGCTGTGTCTGGGTTTCAGCTGGCCTGAAACACCCAGGATTCACCCGGACAGTCCAGGTTTTGAATCCTGTGGGTGCTGTGTCTGGGTTTCAGCTGGCCTGAAACACCCAGGATTCACCCGGACAGTCCAGGTTTTGAATCCTGTGGGTGCTGTGTCTGGGTTTCAGCTGGCCTGAAACACCCAGGATTCACCCGGACAGTCCAGGTTTTGAATCCTGTGGGTGATGTGTCTGGGTCTCAGCTGACCTGAAACACCCAGGATTCACCTGGACACATATCAATAAGCCACGACTCATTCCCCCCCAAAATATCCGTGCGTCGCTAGAGTGTTCGGGTTTCGCTTGAAGAAAAGGTGGCAACCCTAATGGTTGTGCCACAGGAGCCCCTGCTGACAGGTTCAGTAGACTTTGGACATTACAGACTTTCAGCTACAGGGGGACCTGTGCACATTTAAGGCAGCCATGTTGTGTCAGGTCATGTGACTGCTGCTTGAACCAATACCTGATGATTTTAAAGTTCACGGCCTGCGATCAGTCGAGGGAAGTCTGACCAATGAAAGATAATTGGTTGCCGTAGTACATGGCAGTGCACGTTGCATGCGGCATCCTACTTGGTAAGCACATGGGTGATGAGCAAAGTGCATTAGCAGGTCGCAACCAATCAGCTTTCATATTTCTGGAGTCGGGTCACTGAAGTGATTGTTGATTGGTCACAATTCACTGGGAAATATCCGATAGTTTTGCATGGGATTTGTTTTCTTTGCATGAATTTTACAACCAAATAATAATGATCATTTTCAGGATTATGAACAGCATTGATTATAGTTTTTTTTTTCCATCTTGATTTGATTGCATGGAATAAAAGATCCCCCTCCACCCCC